TTTTATTGTCGTCTCATCGGTGTTCACTTTCCGCAATTATAACACTAATTTTACAGAATGAACCTGTAATATCTTTCAGTACATCTTCTCCTTTTACAACTTACTCCTTGAGAACACATGAATTAAGATATAAATTGTGATGGATGGAGCAACTAAATGTACCTTTTTACTTCCACCACTGTTAATATACAATACTGATAGAATCATAAATCTTCCAGCAAAATTTTGTATCTGAAATAGTAATTCATCAAACAATTTCTCTTTAATTTTTTTTATTATATACTACAACTTTGTTTCTGTGGGATCCATTTAACACTATTCAATACATTTCCTTTTTCTATTTTCTCCTTAAAAATACATTAATCAAATTACAGTCCACGATGTTTCCTTGACAGATGTTAAGCAGCTAGTATTTTCTCTGATAAGCGACCAAGTCAAACGGTACTCCAGATTTTGAATGGAGAGAGCAGATGAAAGCAAGTCAAACTGAGAATAAGAGTAACTTACAAAATGCAATACTTATGCTCTAATACGCTAGATATGAGCCTTCAATGCTACATATCCATTCTTGTCACTCGGGAAAGAGGATTATGGTATTTGATGCACAAAGAGAATAAGTAAAAGATCAGACAGGGAAACCATCTGATATTGGAGAATTAAAGCGACATGCGAGATTGCAGCAGATAGCAACCTAAATGATCTCGGAGAGGGACATTCTAGGAGATGAGGAGAGTAATTTTCATGCTAGGAGACCAACAACGAAGAAGACAAGTCATCATACTGAAACAGAACCAACAAAGGCCAACAAGGCAAATGAGTCAATCTTTTATGACAGAGATTACGTGTAAAAATAGTAAATGAAATGAAAGAGTTGATGAACCAGGACGGTTCAGATTAGAATGTCAAAGTAATAAGAATCTAGGGAATTTTTAGGTGTTTCACTTTCATGGGGATCAGTCAAGGAATTTCCAGGCATTCTATGGGAGTCAGACTAAGCAAATAATGATGCAATTTGAGAAGGGCCAGTAAAAAGATAGCAACTAAGTATATGAAAATCATCTATAAAGAGAGAATGACGGAGAAAAATCATCTATGATAGCTGGAATGTAATGTCAGGTAACAAAGGAAAGGAGCTAACAGGGGTTTGTCTATTGGGGGAAGAGATAATATCCAGATGAAGTTTTGTTTACCTTTTGTTCGTGGGTATATATATAGATTGGATTTTGTTGTTTTCCATTTGTTTGTGTGTTTAGATCAGATTTTGCCTGAAGTTGAATGGTAGTTGGTTGAGTATCTAGGTAACATGTGTACTGGAGATATTGATGCATCTGTGGCGTTCTCTAAATTATTCACATGCAAAAACAAAAAAGCAATTTCCAGCATACTTCTTGTTAAAATAATCGTGGTGTCCGAGCCTGCTTGCTTGTGCCTTAATTATTCCATTGGGCACCTGCTATCTCCCACCAGCATAGGTACCAGATAATTCTGCCTCAAAGGCTTAGGCAAATGGGAAGAAACCACCGAGTCTTTTTATCTCCGCTAAGATTTGAACCTGAGACCTCATGGTTCTCCTCTCACTTCATCGACCACTAGGCAACACCTTGGGTTTCTAGCATAATGTTGGTGAGTTATCCATAAACAGTATTCAGTTATTTGAAAAAATGTGTATTACTCTGTACCATATTCCATTATACTGTTCAAGATACAACACATGATCCGTTGCAACATTTAACGAGGGATTTGTGTCCTGATTTGACAATTTTTAAAAAAACTTAGGAGTTTGATATTCTAAAATTACCAAATATACACTCAAAATTATCGATGAGTGATGTTATAGCCTTACAGCTTCCCTCCAACCCCATCACAAAAAATAAATAAAGAACTAGACATGGAAAGGAGAAAATATAAAGTATTTGTCATGGTAGCTTAATTACATTAAATAACCAACATGAACATGATGCTATAGTGATGTACTTATAGGAAATCTAGAGTTCTAGACAATCAGAAGATGAAGGTGCAGTGATTGATATTCACAAACGAAAAAAAGAGAGGTGATATTTCAACCCTACTCAATTGGGAGAAAAAAAAGAGGTAAGATTAACCGAGGCTGTTCAAACAGGCATAGGCCAACTAAACGGCATTCCCGTAGCAATTAACCGAGGCTATTCAAACAAGCATAGGCCAATTAAACGGCATTCCCGTAGCAATTAACCGAGGCGATTCAAACAAGCATAGGCCAATTAAACGGCATTCCCGTAGCAATTAACCGAGGCTATTCAAACAAGCATAGGCCAATTAAACGGCATTCCCGTAGCAATTAACCGAGGCTATTCAAACAAGCATAGGCCAATTAAACGGCATTCCCGTAGCAATTAACCGAGGCGATTCAAACAAGCATAGGCCAATTAAACGGCATTCCCGTAGCAATTAACCGAGGCTATTCAAACAAGCATAGGCCAATTAAACGGCATTCCCGTAGCAATTAACCGAGGCTATTCAAACAAGCATAGGCCAATTAAACGGCATTCCCGTAGCAATTAACCGAGGCTATTCAAACAAGCATAGGCCAATTAAACGGCATTCCCGTAGCAATTGGGGTCTAGCATGGATATATGTGAGAAAAAATGAAGCTTCAAAACAGTGGTACTTAATGGATATTTGAGAAATATGTAGAAAGAAATTGAATGAGTTTCTATTGGTTCGGGAGCCGTAGCTTAGTAAATTTGCAAAAATAACTATGGCAATAAAACACTAAAGAGAGAGATGGGGTTTTGATGGGTCAAAGCTTTAAATGAAAAAGGAGTTTCAACTTGGCTGATGTTGACAGAGGAGGAAAGTGCTGAAGAATTGAGATACTGAAAAGGCTAGGATGAAAGATGGAAGGGGATTGGATAAAACATTAAGAGACTCGTTAAGAACAACTCCCTCTGAGTAGGTTCAACTTAAAGGATCCTGGCAAGGTAAGAAAGGAGAGCAGTGACCAGAACTAGCAGGGAAAATATTATTCGCGGGGATGATCTACATCAATGAGAAGATGGGTGGAGCATTCTTCAGTATAAGAGTATCTCTTTGCCTGTTCAAACAGCATTGAGATGGATGGAAGAGATGTAACCAAATGGGGAAAGGATGAAAGAAAGCTGTGTGAAAGGAAACTGGCAATCATTTACAAGTTCAAATAATAAAATTAGAATAAGTGCGACCATTCCTATTGATGCCCAACAAACTAACAGGTTTCACATTTTGGGCCAAAAACCAACATCCCTTTACCATATACCAAGCAGAATTATATGGACCAGAAAACAACAAGGATTAGATTATAAGATAGATTTATTCCATGAACTTCAGGTGATAAACCCACTTAAATTGAACTGACAAAAGAGTTCGATGAATTCAGAAGCTTGAGTACCAGATCATGCAAAAACCATTTCCTCTATATGGGGAGAAATCATATTGGTGGAACTCATCATGTGGAGAGATCCATAAAAGAGAATAAGTCAGTAAACTACATTCAAGCTTTATGGTTGAAAAAGGGATCTGAGCAGCAGATGCTACTTGGTAATCAGGAAGATAGTTGGAAGAGCAGAAGTAGCACATTTTTAAGGAAGGTGATCAGAATTTGGGTGACCACATCAGAAGAGAATGTCGCCACAATAAACTTAGTAAAGACCCAAGACTCCTCCTCCACCATAAAATAAATGCAAGATAAAAGAAAGACAAAACAAGACTTTTTAATAACTACAACAGATGGAGAAATATCTGGAGAGAATTGGCCCCCAGGGCTTTGATCTAGTGGTTAGTGTAATGCTCGTGTAAGTTAGACACATGTCACAGGTTCGAACCTTGCCACAAATAAAAACTTGATATTTAAGTGGAGAATGATAAAAGAACAAACCCATTATTCACTGTGTTTCAAATTATGTATCATTGGTATGAGGGTTTTCTTGATTATCAAAAAAATCGATCAGATTCTTATTTTGTAGAATGCCTTAGCAATTTGTACCCAAGGTGGCTTTCCGTCTAGCCAAAATCATTTCAGATCATATTTTTTTTGGAATTAGTGAGTCCATGTCCACTGCCTTTGCAATTCAAAGCTGGTTGGCTTTGCGCCTCAGCAGACGCCTTTAGATTCATCATTTGTATAAATTAAACTATGACATTCTAGTTGAACTACTAGAATATCTATAACTGAAGTAGTTTACCAAATTACATCGGAAATATTCATAAATTTAAAATAATGCACCCAAAGGTGTAGCTTAGTTGTCAACTTAGTAAGTAAAAATCATGGTTAAAATAACAAAAATAGCTCAGTGATTTCTCCTCATCGGACTAAGAACATGGCCAAAATTATCCCCACTGCTGGTGGCAGGTAATGCGAACAATTAAGTAGTATATCACAAAATCAATTCTTTTGTACAAATAGCTCAGGTATACACAAATAAATTGAATTAAAAAAATAAAAATAAAAGTCTAAACAGAAACTTCTGCTAAATTTGTTAAACTTGATATTACTATGTGCAGGGATAAATACATTCACAGAGAGAAATATGGAGACGTACCAGTTGGAGAGATGAAGCTTTGGGGAAAAGAAAGTAAGATGAGGGCACTTGTGTTGAGATCGGATCTGATAATCTCTGAGCTGCTCAACCAGTTTAGACCTTGTTATCATGTTCCCCAAACGATCGGAAAACCTGATTCTCCGATCTCAATCGAATTTTTGCCTTCAATTCCAATTGCAAATTCAGAAGCAACGAACTACACCTAGTTAATGGTGGATTCGTAATTGAAGAGACGATCCTCCGAATTAACTGCTACACTGTTCCAACGGAAAAGGAAGACGAAGAAGAAAATGCTAAACTGAGAGGGATAGAGTTTTTGGCTAAATTCATCCCTCAAGTATAAGCCAAACTCAGAGTACATCCTCATGATATAATTGTGACCAAAAAACATCCTTCTAGTATCCCAAAACTTGCATAAGCATCCTTCTGTTAACTACTGTTAAAAACTAACAGAAAGAAAAACATGTGCCAAGCACATGACTTCCCCAAATCCCCATACATTGTACTATTGATTTCCTCCCAAATCCTGCCCGATCAGCTTCCAAAAACAAAATTTCATCTTCTTCTGAACTTAAGCAACTAGACAAGTTCTTTTTCAACAGAAGAACTGAAGCTGGGGTTATTTTCTATCTCCTCTTTCCTTGCCTCACAAACAAGGTAAACAAAATAGTCATTGAAGAAGTTTTGGTTTTACCATTACTGTAGTATATTTTTTATTTCTCAAACTAAACATCGTTTTCATTCTCAATAACATCAGATTTTGTAGGTTGAAAAACAAGAAACAATACGAAGAATGTTGGCTCGAAGATTAACTGACAGATCTGTCACACCCAACTATGGTATTGTTGATATTCAAAACCTTTAAGCATTTGTTAATATCATATATAACAGATTTTTCAGTAACTTATACATGTTATGATATTAGTTTTATTGAACTTGTAGTTCATTCTTGGATTTATATATTTCATATTTTTTATATATAAGAACAAGTTCTATATTTGTGTAGATCCTATTTCTGAGGCATCCCTTTTCACAATTAAAGTACATCATGGCGGATCATTTGTGCGTGGTCCGACAAGAGGCTACATAGGTGGGAAAGTTGTATTTTTTGACTATGTAAACAGAACAATGATAAGCTTATCAGATTTTAAAAATATGGCCGAACAATGTGGTTATGACAAGGAGTCTGTGGTGTTCTGGCACAAGTATGGTTTAACCCTTTATAAGGTTCGGTTAGTTGGTAGCAACATTGAAGTAGCTAAATTTGCTACTTGCATTCCAAAGGATAGAGTGATTGAGATATATTTTGAACATTTGAATTTCTATCATGATGATCATCAACATTGCGAGAAGACGGGAATGGATTCTTTGCCAACAAGTGATACAGAAGCAAATAGTGATGATTCTCATGATGATGATTTTGAAGATTTTGATTATTCATTAGAGGAAGATGATATATTATTTTCTAAATATATTGATCCTTCTGCTGAATCTTTTGGGATCAATATAAATCAGAGACATGAGAAAAATGATGTAAATCAAGATTATGTAAATGAAAAGATGCAGAATGTGGAAGGTGATTCAGATTGTGTAGATTCTGATGATACAGGGAGTTTAAATAGTGATTGCAATTCTGAAAATGAAGATTCTAACTTTCCGAAGCACAATCCAAAAACGGATGCCCTTAATCCCAAATTGGAGTTGGGACTGATATTCGGTAACAAGAAAGAATTCAAAGAAGCTGTGATTGCAAATCAAGCCAAAATAGGAAAGTCAATTGAGTGGATCAAAGATGACAGAAGAAGAGCAAGGGCCAAATGTAGGAAAAATGGATGTAACTGGAGGATATTGGGTTCATCGATGCAAAGGGACACATCTTTTCAAATAAAGACGTTTGTCCCCAACCATACTTGTTTTGGGTGGAATTATAACAACAAAAATATCACTTCCAGTTGGATTGCAAGGAGGTATGTTGATAGAGTTAGATCAAATAAGAATTGGAAAACATCAGAATTTAGAGATACATTGAGTAGGGAATTACGGCTACATGTAAGTATGCATCAAGCAAGAAGGGCAAAGGAAAAAGCTATTGCAATGATCGATGGAGATATAAACGTTCAGTTTAGTATATTATGGAATTATTGCAATGAAATTGTTCGAACCAATCTTGGGACTTCCGTTTTCCTGAAAGTAACTCCAAATGAGATACCTAACAAGTTGATGAGATTTCAAAGGTTTTATATTTGTTTTGCAGCATGTAAAGTAGGATTCAAGGCTGGTTGTAGGAAGATTGTTGGGGTCGATGGGTGTTGGCTGAAGGCCACCATGTATGGGGCACAGTTATTATCAGCGGTTACTTTGGATGGAAATAACAACATCTTTCCAATAGCTTATGCAATAGTTGAGAAGGAAAATAAGGAAACATGGTGTTGGTTTTTAACATATTTAATGAACGACCTTGAAATTGAAGAGCAATACCTGTGGACTTTTATGTCAGATAAGCAAAAGGGACTTCTTGAAGCTTTTGAATTAGTGTTGCCTGATGTTTCTCATAGATTTTGTGTGCGACACTTGCATAACAATTTCAAGAAAGCTGGGTTCTGTGGAATGGCATTAAAAAATGCTCTTTGGAAGGCAGCTTTAGCAACAACTGTTGACAGGTTTGATGCTTCTATGGCTGATTTGTTTGAGTTAGATAGAGATGCTTATGCATGGCTTTCTACGAAATTGCCTAGTGAATGGTCAAGATCACATTTCTCGTCTCTTCCTAAATGTGACATTCTTTTGAACAACTAATGTGAGGTTTTTAATAAGTTTATTCTTGATGCAAGAGATAAATCAATTGTTAAACTTCTGGAGACCATTAGGCACTTACTCATGACAAGAATTAATTCTAATAGGGAGAAAGCTGAAAAATGGAACTTGAATGATATTTGTCCTACTATTAAGAAGAAGTTGACTAAAATTATGGAGGATGCTGCCACTTATATTCCTAAAAAGTCGAATATGTGGAACTATGAAGTGATTGGACCTGTTGAAGGTGATACTTGGGCTGTTGATTTATATAACAGGACATGTAGTTGTAGGCAATGGGAACTTTCGGGTATCCCTTGTAAGCATGCTATATCATCTATTTGGTTGAAAAATGATGAAGTTTTAAACTATGTCGATGATTGTTACAAGGTCGAGACATATCAAAAAATTTATGAAGTTCCAATATTGCCTATGAATGGTCCTGATTTATGGCCGAAGTCACAGAATCCTCCACTATTACCACCTTTATACTTGAAAAAGACAAAGAAAGGGAAGAAACAAAAACTAAGAAAGAAAGAAGATGATGAATCGGGAGCTAGCAGGATGAAGTTAAAAAGGAAACAAAAATCAGTTCATTGTAAGAAATGTGGTAGGCCTGGCCATAATAGTAGAACTTGCACTCCTTCATCTGATGCCGTTGAAATTCATCCATCGGACCATCCTTGTAGTTTGGACTCCATCATGATCGAGAGAGCATCAAGTTATCATAATGTGGAAAAGCTACCTGTAAGAGTGTTCAAATATTCTCATCTAAATTTCAATTATTTAAGTTTTTTAATATAGTATATAAATGCAAATATGTAATATTTTCATTTCTTATTTCAGGTTAGAAAAGGCAAATCTCAAGTCGGCCATCAAAGTTACATTTTCCAGACATCTCAAAATGGCAGGAACGATTGAAGAAATTACTTCTTTTTTATTTATTGAGTTATTTTTGTTCTTGTATATCAAACTGATGATATGCTACTGGTTTTTGCTGTTCATTTACTTATTCTGTTAATTTAATGGTACTAGACTCTGTTTCTACTTATTTTTATTGGTTTTTCTATTGTTTTGCTGGTCTTTTCATGTTGCTTTTCTTATTTTTTGGCAAACAATTTGTTGTTTACTATTGGTTTACCAATTTTTCTGTTGTATTGCTGTTTGTTTTTGTTGTTTTATGCTAGTTTGGTGTTGTTTTGCTGATTTTCTTGTTGTTTATATACTGGTTTATCAATTTTTTTGTTGTTTTCTAATGTGTTGCTGTGTTTGGCTAATTTGGTATTGTTTTGCTGATTTTTATGCTATTTTTGTACTGATTTACCAGTTTTCATAATCCTTTTTCCTTGTTTTTAATTAGCTGCCTTGATGTATTCTTGAGTGTGCTTTTTGTGCAAGTTTTGATCCTATTTTTCAGGTGAAATATTAGCCTTTTTTGCTGGTTTGAAGTGTTAAAATGCTCAAGGTGGAAAAAAGAAGAAAAAACAAATGCTTTTAGGCAACTCAGAGTACTTTCATTGCGCTTGGCAAACACACAAGATACGTTTAATACGAAAAACTCAAAGCGAGACTGATCCAACATAAAACGACTACTTTTACTACAACTCCAAATTCTCGTCTTCTCTCTTTTCAAAGTGAGGCCAATCCTTCCTCTTATCGGCTTACTTCTTTTTCAGACGCGATGCATTTCTATGAGCGTTGTTTATCATTTCTCAACTAGGCACATTAGGCTTGTCTCGCTTCCTCTTTGCTCGCATAGGAGAATGGATATGTATGAGTTATATAAGCAGTCAATTTAAACCCTCAGTTAGGGACGCATTTTCTGAAGGTTAAACTGAAAGTGGGACAGAGCAAATTATTTTTCTGTACAAACATATGAAAGAAGAGTCTGCACGTGAGCTATTGTTTATAAAAAGATGAAGCAATCAATTTACAGTATATGGAGACTTTGGGAGGAAAGTCACGTGCTTAGCATATGTTTTTCTTTCTGTTAGTTTTTAACAGTTAGTTAACAGAAAGGATGTTTATGCAAATTTTGAGATAGTAGAAGGATGTTTTTTGTTCACAATTATACCACAAGGATGTACCCTAAGTTTGAGTTATACTTGAGGGATGGTTTTAGCCAAAAACTCGAGAGGGATACGTATGAGCCCAATGAGATGTTTATTCATATTACAAAATTGGTCCATAAAATATACTTAGAAATTTGGGTAGATCGAGATAGCATGTTTTAAATTAAAATTGTTAAATAGTATAATACAAAGAATACAAGGCAAGAAGAAACCTGATCGCTGACAAGTGACGGCGAGGAGCGGCAGCCGGCAGTGGTTTAAACTGGAAAAAAACCGAGGTAATGTTGTAGGGTTTGGGAATTGGGACTACTTATATTTTTCTTAAATACCAAACTCTCTGTTTTATGTTTTATGTTTTATGTTTTATGTTTTATGATAATATTAATGTTGCTAAATGTAACTAATGAAACTCCTGGAATTGGCTCGTTTTTTATGTTGGTGGATTTAAACTTATATATGTCTGTTTCCTGATCCATGGTGAATAAGTTGATACTTCCTCCATTTTAAAATAATTAAATTTTTAAAATTAGTTAAATTGTTGGGTGTTTCACATCCACTAAGAAAAGAAGATTATGACATAAATTAGATATTATTTTCCATTTTTATTTTTATTAATTATTACCTTTATCTCTAATTACTTGTTCACTTTTTCTTTTTTTAATTGTCCCTAATTACTTGTTTATTTTAATAAATCAAGAAAGGACAAAAAAAATTACTTATTCTTTTTTTGGCAATTAAAACTAACATTTTATTACCAAATAGCAGATCTGTACATAGTAAAGTTGTGATTGTATGACATTCACACAGCTGCAAACCAAACAACTAGACATCAAAAATCCATGTGTTATGGTAATCTATAGCTAATTATCGGTAGAAATTAAGGCTATTTAGTCTTCTCGCAAGTTTCTTCTTGAGTGATCCTTTGAAGAATATGTCCAGCATAATTCTCCTAGCCACCATTTTAGGTTCACTGTGATTTCTCTCTATCTACACTTGATATAGTGTTGCAGGCTTGCAGCAAATGTCATCATGAATATGATTGTTGTTTGTCCATTTTCATTGGCATTAGTGCAAGCCCAGTTAAGTTCATCTTTTCAATCCATGGTCACTCTATTAATGCACTGCTATTGATGTAGCCTATACCAGATTTCACTAGAGTAGTCACACCTGAAAGAAAGGTGTTCACTGGTCTTATTCTCATTGTTGCACAACTCACATTGTTGTTCATCAACTACACCCCATTGTAGCAACCTGTGTTTTGTAAGTAGTTTTCTAAGGGCAGTCAATCTAAGGATAAAAAATCATTTTGGGGAACCTGGATTGTTGAAAATAATTTTACTCTACTATACTTAATGAAACGTAACTCACCCCTCAGCAAGACATACATCACCCTAATGGTATAAGTACGCATGTTTGACAGATCACTTGCTTGCAAACCAATATCCTGCAGGTATAGCTTCATCTTCAAAATCTTTTGGACAACCCACGATGCTTATGTTGGGTATTGGATTCCCATATTGGCCTTCATTTTATATAGTAACAATGCACCTATCTAACCCATTAAGTATTTTTTTCTAGAGCACAGGTTTTAGAGCAATTTGCTAATGGCTACTCTGTTCCACACTGTAATATCAAAAATGTTTAGGACACCAGCAGGTCTTGGTAAGCACACTTTATCCCAGGCTAGCAAAGCATTCTTTGTTACTTTTGTACCTTATATCCATAAGAACCTCTTACAAGTTGCTTTATAAGTTTGATCACCTTGGCGGGTAGCACAAAAATTTGTGACAGATAAATATGGATAGAGAATAATATTTTGATTTAATTAGCTACTATCTGCCTACATAAGATAGGAACTTTGTTGTTCAACATGTTATTCTTCCTAGCATCTTGTCAATCAAGAGTTGACATTGAGTGATTGATAGTTGTTTAGTACTTAGAGGCACACTGAAGTATCTAAAAGGCATCTCACTCTAGTAAAGACAAGAATATTCAAGATAACTGTTTGATTTATGTCATTCACACCTCCAAAATATACAACGCTTTGGTCTTTGTTTGCAATCAGACATGAAACATGAGAAAATTATTGAAAACAATCAAACAACAGTTGTACAGACCTTATGTCACCCTTGCAAAATAATAATAAGTCGTTCGCAAAACCTAATTAAATAAGTTTTATCTTTAAGCACCTGGAGAGAAATTTAAAGTCCGGACGGGTGATTAAGCTCTTCAATAATCATGAGAAGTACTCCATTACTAAAACAAAGAGAAAGGGGGACATAGAGACCCCTTGTCTCAATCCTCTTCTAGCATCAAAAGGTCAGCCATTGATACAGACTGAGTAAGAGACAGTTTGAAGGTACTTCATTATCTAGTGTATGATTTTGTAGGAAAATTCAGATGTGTCATTACTTGCTTGACAAAGATCCATTCTAGTGAATCATAGGTTTTTGCATATCTACTTTAAGCATACATCTATGAGAGATCCCCTTTTTTCTACTTATTATACCCCTCAATTAATTACTTTGAAAAAGGTAAAATTTCTTGAAAATCTTAAGTTTTTAATTTATCCACTTCATAATTAATAGGGGTAAAATGATAAACTCATTATGTCAATCATTGTTTTCTTAATAGGTGTGTCAATTCAAAAGTGAATAAGTAATTAAGGACAAAAGGATTATTGTTTAATTAATCTTTAGAATAATTTAAAACAATTAAAGATTATGAACTCATCAAATAGAAAATTCAAATGAAGAATAAAAATGGAAAAATATTCTAAAGATTGAAAAATTAAATTAATTTGAAATATGAAAAATGTGTCTTAACATTCAATTATTTTACACTAGAGGGAATATATATTAGTACTGAAATTGATTATGAGAAGAATGTTGTTGTTTGTTATGTTTTGGGGGGTCACCCACCATTTGCAGTGTTAAATGAGTATATACGAAGGCTTTGGGGTATGTGAAGTTATGCTCATAACTATTTAATCAATTTTTTCATTTATATGAAAATTTTATTTAATGTCAAAATTTTAAAAAATTAAAAAATATCACCAGCCAATTGCAATGGGTGCAACTATTCCTAGATCGCCCTTCTTGGGATCAACTAAACAAGGCCAAAAGTCAATTACTATCTCGAAATTTCTTTTCTTCTATGACTTGAGAGCCCGAATGCTGATGTTTCCTAGATCATTTTTTTCATAAATTTGATTAATTACTAGAACATAAATATTTACATTCTAGATTGGTTTAATTTTTGGGTAAAATGACTATTGCATGAACAAAAAAAAGGAAGTAGCTTTACCAATCCACCCATAGTAAACTTGATTGGGTGGGTCATTAAAATGATTTAAATAGATAAGCATATTTTTATTTATTTAAAATTTGATTTTAAGTAAAAAAATTATATAAGTAATTTTAATTTAAAAAATAATAAAATAGATTGAGTGGTTTTGTAAGTAAAATTTGCATAGTTAGTTAGGTGATTTTTTGTTAAAATTCAAAGTTAAGTGACTTTCTAAGAGAAAAGTTTATATTTGAGTGATTTTTGAGTTAAAATTCAAAGTTGAATGACTTTATGAGAGAAAAATCTATAGTTGAGTGACTTTGAAATTAAAAATCAAATTAAATGAGCGACCATATGAGATATTATCTCAATTTACACTATATCAAGAGCATGTATTAAAAACGAATCAGGGGAAAAAAAAGAAAATCATTATGTGTGAGATATGATCTATTATATCTAGCAGATTAGAAATTGATAACACTTCAAACAATTGAATGTAAAGTCAAATAGGTTTTAAATGGTAAAAGATCTCTTAATTTTTTAAATTAGATAAGTAAAAGTGGACATTTATTTTCAATATGATGGACAAGTGAAAATGAACAAAGAAAATAACAAATTAGGATGCACAACTAAATTATCTTCCGAAAGTAGAATAGAATACAGAGGTCTAATCTATATAAAAATGTTGCAAGTTTACTCTAGCGAGAGCAAAATCTTCAAAGGATTGCCCACCTTCAGAATACTATGCATTTTGGAAGGGCACTCACTTACCTTATTAAATAGAAGAATCAAGCAGTAAACTAAAGATTTTTTGTGATTTTTGCGATGAATGATATATAAAAATGAAGATTTCTTATGAATAAAAGATAAAAATAAATTACTATATTTTATCTAAAAGACATAAAATTTAAAATAAATTTATAAAGAGTTACAAGTTTATGTTGATTCACAACCTCAAATAATACATTTTATTTTATTTTTTGATTGATTTGTTGACTATCATTTTCATTTTCCGTTTTCTTTTGACTTGATCCTTTGACCATGGTTGGGGAGGATGGAGGAAGATTGGAGTTGGTGAGAAGATGGTTTTTGATTGCTCCGAGCGAGAGACATTATTTCCAGTGGGATGTTTAGGAGTAGCAATAGTGAGATCGGATGCAATATAGAATTAGGGGAGATAGGAGTAGTAGTGATACCATGTCCATAGGTATTGAATGTATAAGCTGATAGATAGAGTGGTGACGTAACAACTCCTGCATGCAAAGGATCTGAAACAACTTCTGAGGAAGATGTGAAATGATGTCAAGAGTATGATTTGTTACGGCTGTAAAACCACAATTAAAGAAAATGTTTTCAAGTTCAAATGGGATGAAGATGTTTCATGCGATTTGGTAAGGTTTCAATCTCATTTCTCCGATCAAATATTATTAAGACGAGCAAAAGTAAGAATTTAACAAAACATAACCACACAAATAGTCATTTTGCACAATTCACAATTTCAAGCTCATTGGCATCTAAGATTCCTAGTTCTTCCTCAAGGTTCCAAACATATTCTCTATAATTACTAAAGAAAAATAATCAAATAACTTCCGACTTGTTCCGACCATTTCTCCAAGAATAACCACTTACAAAACTTCCCAGTTGTTCCATCCCCTCTCTCCATGTAATCAAAATTCATATCTAAATACGAATACAAGAAAAATACATGCGTTTAAGCGTTCCATAGCAATCTTTAACAAAATATGTTGTTGTCATTACCATTCTCCAATCAAACATCGTGAAATCTTATCTTTGTCCTTCAGACACTTTGCAGTATTTGTTAATGTAAAGTTTAAGAAAGTTTACAATATTTTTCTTTTTTCTTATTCTAATTTCTACTATATTCCTTTTCTACTATATTAGAAAAATAATTTAGTTAGACGTGGTATCGACATGTATGCTTCACGAAACAAATTCATATTAGAAGATATATTGGTATTTTATGGAAAGCTTCTTCTTTGTTCCTATAGCATTGAGAGCATAGGTGTTTGACACTGGTTATGCCACTTTGTATGGTCTTAAACTAATATATAAATATATAATATATCAAAATATTTTTTAATCTTGTGGTGTTAAACATATCAGGTGAAAATTAAATTTTAAAATTGATAAAAAAGAAGAAACATTATTTTATATTTCAAAACGAACTAAAAGAAAGATATAATATTATTATTTTTTGTTAAAAGAAAACTTATTATAATTTTATTATTACTTAAAAAGAAAAATAGATACCCTCTAATTTGGGGACCTAAACATATATCTCATTTTTAAAGGCCTAAGTTTGGAATATTTTTCCTTTTTTCTTTCTTTATTCTAGTTTCTACTATCTTCTAATATAATATATCATCTTCTTCTACTATATTAAAAGAGTTAGTTAAATATGGTATCAACATGCCTGCTTCACAGAAGCAAATTCATATTAGAAGATGTATTGGTATTTTATGGAAAGCTTCTTGTTAGTTTCTATAGCCTTGAGAGCATAGGTGTTTGACACTGGTTATGCCACTTTGTTCCTATCTTGCCTTCCTATATGCTATAAAAAAAATAGCGATTATGTTTTAATTTTGTGTATTGCTTTATTTCGTTTTCTCTAAATGGTTATTCACCTTCATTTTTTGCTTCAATGTTCAATGGTCTTCTCCGTTGGCGTTGGATAGTAAGGTTAACTATTTTTACTTTTAATTTTATGTTTCTTCTTAATTAGGGATAAGTGATAGTTACATTCTCCAATAATTTGCTTCTTAGTCGAGAAAGAACCAAGATCAAGTAGTGCATCATATGGAATAAATAATAATTAGAATTAATATTTACATTTCTTATGTGAATATTTTACAAATAATATTTATTTTTTATTTTACATGGTTATTAATAAATTCTTAATAGATTGATCAACTTTACTATTTTGCTTTATGTTCTTATTAATTATCTTCTTAAAAAATAAATTTTACACTGGAAGTCCGAGGACCTTTAGTACTGTACTCTACCCCCGAACCAGCAGCCTTCGCGCCAAGCAAGACCGCCCTTGTCCCTTTCGGCATGCCCCAATGAGAAGGTACTCTTTCCCTTTCCTTGATGTTACACAGGATGCGCAATGGGGGGTAGTACGAGTACGTGGTAGGGCCCGCTTCAGAAAGTAGGTTTCCAAGCCCGCAGATTATCTTCAGAAAAAACATTTACTTTCAAATCAATGTTAATTGAACTTTACGAATAATCTAAATTTATATTTTATCGATTGCGATTAGACAAATTAGAACCATTTTTTCTAACTATATAGATAAGAATGAGACATCCTTATAATGGTGAACAAAATTATTTCAATTTCTTATTGTTATATATAGGCATTTTTTTTTATCCTTCATCGTAAATTCATGTGCAAATTTTGAATTCAAATCTTGCACTTAAGGGACTTGAGGGCTTGAAAATCTCCTACTTCTCTAGCTAAGAATGCTTATTTATTTACTCCCTCTTTGTCTATTGACATTTTTTTTTAAAGTTACTCCCCCACAAAAAAAATAAAATTATCTGATAAATATTAAACCATACTATCAATATTTTACTCTTTACTTATTTGACAAAAGGTTTACAATGTACTGATTTATTTGAAAATTTATTTATTTTAATGATAATTTTAAAATATTATTTAAAAAAATTATATTTCTTAAACTTTGTATCCAAACAAATTATATCAAATAAATTGAGATGGAAAGAATATCATAAATTTCCGATGCAATCAACTGATTAAACTACAGTTGAGCATCAGATTTGATGATAACGCAAAGAGTTAACTACTATTTAATCAAGGATATCACATATGAACTATTTTTACATTCAGTATAATTTATACATTTAGGTTATATATATTATCTTTCAGACTATTAATCCATACTTAGCCATAATACTTTTAGTGAATATTTGAAGTGTAAGTTCAGTGATGTAATTCATGAGATTTATATAGAAATGAAGTTGGATATCCAAAATTATTTAAAAGATAGGAAGTTTCAAGTACTTTAGATCTTAAACTAAAGATTGTTGAGAATGTCATTCATTGCATAGTGAATTAAAGATATGTAAAATGTATAATTTTGAGATTTTAAATATGTCACGTGAAAAAATGGACTTAAAGATTTGTTTTTAAAAGAAAAAATATATTCTTTTTAAAACATATTTGAAAGGAAGTAAGACAAATAAATTAAAATATAGAAATTAACAGTTACTAAATACTAACTATATCCTTATATTAAAAAATTACTCTTCTTAATGTGATCTTCATTTTAAAAAAATAAAAATAAATTCATTAAACGTTCTGAATTTTCATGAAAACTAATAGTCCTATTCTCATTCCTCAAAATGAAATATAATTATTGAAATTGTAAAATATTATTATTTTGTAGAGATATTAATTAACAAATATTAATTTAATGAATATACCTTGTTTTTTCCCCTTAAAAACAAACATACTTGCCCATGAGATTTATGAACGAAAATAGTATTTAAGATATTGAAAAGAAAGAAGAATAGAAGAATAAACAACAAGATCAAAAAATTGAAAGAAAGAGAGTGAGTAGAGTATTGAAGTGAATATAAATAAGAGTAATAAATACTTTCTTGGAAAGTGTTTTTTTATTAAAAATAAAAAATTTATTGGGTAGTGTAATTTCTTGAAGTCATCTATTGACATTTTGAGTGAAAAAATGAATTTACAGCAATAATACCCTTTAATTACGAACTTGCCCGGTCATGCAATTTATGCCAAAAAGATGTCAAATATATTTTCCCTAAATAAATATGCACATCTATTTTTTATTTTAGGCACAAGTGAAGTTTATTTATTTAATTAAATTAAAATGACCGGGTAAGCCCGTGAATTTATTTCCTTAAAGCCAAAGAATGCACACCTCCTCAAACTATAACTCTCATTCACGTCAGTTTTGAACTCTCCGATCTCCACGCGTTTTTCCTCGTCTCCGTCGTCGTTAGGGTTTTCCGGCGATTCTTTGCCATTTCTTCCTTGGTTTTCCGGCGACTTTACTCACCAGAATTTGCGCGCATTGCACTTTGTGAGTTCTTCCTCTTCTTAATTCTTCGTTTGCTTACCGGTACTGATCATCGCATGCTGTTGTTTATTTATCCAAAACAAAAAAAAGAAGAAGAAAAAACACTGAATTTCTCCGTTTTACAATTGTTGATCAATTTTAGCATGAAAAGATAGGATCATTTTCGTTTTTCTTTTGTTCCAATTTTTGGTAATGTGTTGTTGTTTCCTCTACTTCTTTGAATGTATCGTTTTATGTTCTTGCTTTTCTTGATGAAATAAATGTAACTATATTTAGTGCTCTGTTCATGGGATTTTCCTGATAAGATGCTCTGTTCAATCTGGGATTTTCTTGCTTTTTTTTTTCTTCTTATTTCTGCGTTACTAATGATTTTCGTGATTTTCTCATTTATAGTATAGTGAAATTTCTTGATTTCTTGAAACCCAAGTTATCAAGGGCTCTGCTAATAGGTGAATTGGAGATCAATTTCTTGATTTTCTCGTTTCCATATATTCTTTTTGTTAAGTAATAGAGGCTCTAATTTTTATATATCTATGCAGAAAAATGGCATGTTCTGAGATTGACATGCTGAGTGATGAATCTTTGGAGGAGGACATCTATTCTGACTCCTCTGACTTTTACGTTGCTATTAAACCTCAGGGTGGTGGGATTGACTCGGTATAGTTTTCTTCCCTTTTATTTTGTTTTCTTGTTTCAATTGTTCAACAGTTTTTTTTATCATCATCTCTTCGATCAAACTCGTTAATGCACTCTTTACTTGTTTCGGTATGTTAAGGTCTTGAAGTCTCAATAACAGAACTTGAAGTCTCTTGTTGCCTGTTAATGTCCTTTTTTTGTGTCTTAAAAGAATTGTACTGAACATGGTGTATACTGTATACTTTGTCTTTTCAAGTTTTTTCTTTCTAAGTGGTGATTTCTATGATGTCCATTTCAAAATTGGCAGATGGCAGACGTATTAAAGTGGTGTAAGTTAGTCCTCATAATGTCCTTGGATCTCAGTTCTTCCATATTCCGCCTTACCTAAAGTTACAATTGTAACAATGACTAAGCCTCAATTCCAAGCTAGTTGGGGCCAAATGTACTAATCCACTATCCATCTCATTCCAAGGATGCCATTCTTTTATTTTCACAATGTCATGGGCAATCTCTGCTTCCCTGTTTTGCTGGGAAGCTACTTCATAAGATCTTGCTTTCTAGTGCTAATATTCTTCTATTGTTATTTTTTTATTTTTTGACATTTATGAATTATTGTTTTTTAAATGAGTCTTTCTGAGTGAACAACATGCCCAGCCTAAAAAGAGGAGTGGATACAAATATTGATCATCCTAACTAGTACGAGATTGCAGCATAGTTAGTAAATCGCTCTTGCTTCTGATTACCGTACCTCTTTTAACAAGTCTTTCGGTTTGGATTGCAGTTAGCAGAGTTTGACTTGACGACTGCCGCTTATAAGGTGGAGGAAGGGAACAATGGTTCTAAATATCCTGTAGACATCATAATGAGAGTGGACATGACAATCAAAGATGTAGCGAAGAGACATGTACTGCCTTTCCTCCCTGCTAAATCACTGATGAAGTTTCGGGCAGTGTCCAAAGAATGGAATCAGTGGATAACTAGTCCATTACTCGCGTACAATCAAAGTTCAACATTCCAGAAACTTTCAGGCTACTTTTATCAAAGACTGGAAAATAAAGATGATCCTCCTATATTTTTGTCTCTGCATCGTTCCGCGAACGGAGTCCCGAGTCCTTCCCTTGGTTTCTTGCCTGAGGTTGTTAAAGTACTAAGTTCTAGCAGTGGGTTGCTCCTTTGTCAGGGGAAGGACAGTTATTACGTTTGCAATCCTGCAACCAAACACTGGAAAAAGCTTCCTCCTCCTCAATATTACCATGGATCTGATCCTGCAGTTGCTCTTGCATTTGATCCTCAGTTTAATATTGAATCATTTTATCGCGTGGTCGCTGCAGTCCCTGTTCTTGATCATCCAGTTGTCTGCTTTGAGATTTACTGTTCTGAATCAGATTCATGGAGGTGCTCTCCTTCAGACTGTCTAGAGCTGGAAAATACAAGGCTTGCAGGTGGAGGATCTTATATGAAGGGGGTGGCTTACTGGAGGAATACATCATCGAATGAAGTGTTAGCGTTCGATGTGAAAAATGAGATTCCAGCAGTTTTACATGTACCTAATATTCAATCTGAACAACGTGGTGCCTTAACGCAGATAGGAGATGAGGTGTGCTATGTTACTGCTTATAATGACAGTGGAAGTGTTTTCGTAATAGACATCTATGGAGGTGTGGACATGGGCCTGAAGCGCAGTGTCAGTGTAAATCTTGGAAGCAAGAAGCCTCGTACTCAAGTGCTTGGAATACCCAAGGAGGAGTGTTGTGAGGTACTACCCTGTACTGACAGTGATACTGTGGTGATCCACACAGACACAACGATATACTTTTATCACCTTAGGGAGCAGAAGCTTGAGACACTGCAGAGTCCGGGACGAGTGGATACTGATAAGAGGTTCTTACCCTACATAAACAGCCTCGTTACGGTACACAATTCTGGAGAATAAGAAGTAGTACCCTGTACTGATACGACGATATACTCTTGTCACCTAAGGGAGCAGAACTGTGAGACACTGTGGAGTCCGGGACGAGTGGATACTGATAAGAGGTTCTCACCCTACATAAATAGCCTCGTTATGTTACAAGGATCTGGAGAATAGGAAGTAGTGCCCTTGATGATATTGTTTCATTTGGACAAAGTAGTATGATTTGTTTTTGTCCTTCATTCATTTTACTTTCTTGCTGCTAGTTGTTAGTTTTGGTGCTTTTCATTGTTACATAAACAAGTGCAAAATGTTGGAATTGAATAGTCAGATTCTCTTTTGACGAGATAAGTGTTAAGAACTACTTACACTTTGGAACTACAATTGGCATCAACTTCCTCCTATGTCATATCAGGTCTGATAGAAGATGAGCTGATTGTCTTCTCTTTGCTTGCTCCCACAATTACGTACTGCCTCGAATCTTCATAAAGCAAATAGAATAAAGTAAATCATTCCTTCTCAATTATGCACTCACAGTTATACTTATAATAAACGGGAAATAGAGAAATCAAGTCTTGAATATGAAATATTGCCTTGTTATGAAAGATCAGGATTCAGGAATCAGAATAGTCCAACTTAATTGGAGTATGTACTACTACTGCAATGCTCTGTAGTTGACTAAAATATCGGGCATCTCGACTAATTCCACATAATATTCTTGTTAATAGACTAATGTTTTCTCCGGTGTTAAAAATGCAAAATAAAATAAAACTAGGGAGAGAGAGAAGGGTCCTTGTTTGTAGGAGCAAACAATTTGAGGGTGAGAGAGGGGAAAGGGGGTAGGCTTTCTTTGAACATCACAATGCTAAGATTTCTCTTTCTCCCTTTTGAGAACCCTCTGTTCTCATACATCTTTCAGGTAAATTTCTTCTCTTCATGTCCAAATTGAATCATTTTTGTTACTATATTGTATAGGATCTTCAATTTTGTTGTTTAACATAACATTTTCTTTTTTTCGTTTTTCATGGAAATATAGGAGCATTGAAGATTTGTTGAGACGAGCAGTTAACGGGAGAGGTTGAATTTCTGGGCTGCCGGAAATTTCACCGTTGTTGAAATATGCAATCACCTCCTGGTACTGCTTCGTCCGACAAAAATGACACTACTTCCTCCTCTCCTTCTAATTCCTCCCCATCTCCGCCACCACCAGCTCCGCCTACCTCCCCACCCCCAGAATCTCCTCCACCCGCAAAGGAATCTTCTCCTCCGTCATCACCACCACCCTCAGCTTCTGAATCACCACCACCTCCGTCAGAATACACTACCACATCACCCAATGCTCCTGATGAGGCGTCTCCTCCTACCTCATCCAAATTTAATCCCCCACCCCCAGTTTCCTCAGGACCGCCTTCATTATCTGCTGGAAAATTATCTCCTCCTCCACCTTCAGAAAAATCAGCACCTTTTGAAAAACCAGGCGGTGCACAACGTTCAGGCAAACCAGCAGCTGGTTCTTCAGGAAACAACAATGGCTCGCCTTCGTCTAATTCAGGTTCATCTGATATGTTTATAGTTGCTGGAATAGCAGTGGCAGGATTGATGATTTTTGCCACTATCATTGTTTGTTTAATTTACTGGAGAAGGAAGAAGAAAGAACACTACTATACCAATGGTCCTCCTGGTACTCCTGGTCCTCCTAGACGTCCACCTAAAGGTTCGTAAAATTGTAACCTATGTGTCTTTATTTCTTTCCGAGTATAAGTTACATATCCTGATATTGTAAATTGATAAAAACTTGAACTATCGAGTCGCTTAAAAGCATAATTAGTACTCTCTTGTGTAAGTAAGAGTTTAACTTATATGCATATCCAATTTCTGTCATAATTATTCAAGTATACATTTGTTGTTTTAATGAGAAACTCAAAAACTGTAGGAGGTTTCACCATCCTAGTAACAGTGTATATTTTTGTTCTTAGGTGCAGGTAGTACTGATCCATACTACAAAGGTCCTAAGCCCACGGAACACATTGTAAAGGTTCCTACCATAGTTTATACAAGTAGCGACAGCACCTTTGCTGTTAATGGCCAAGCTCTTGTGCCATCTCCGAGTCTTGGTGGGTTCTCTAAGAGTCAGTTCACTTATGAGGAGCTAGCTAGAGCAACTTCTGGATTTTCTAAGGCCAATTTGTTAGGCCAAGGTGGTTTTGGGTATGTACATAAAGGTGTTTTGGTTGATGGAACGGTGGTAGCTGTCAAGAGTTTGAAGTCAGGCAGTGGACAAGGTGAACGAGAATTTCAGGCAGAGGTTGATATCATTAGCAGAGTTCATCATCGCCACCTTGTTTCTCTTGTTGGATATTGCATTGCTGATAGCCAGCGAATGTTGGTATATGAGTATGTTCCCAACAAAACCTTGGAATTCCATCTTCATGGTACTTCCCCTGTCGTTGAATACTCCCTTTTATGATACATAATTGAAAGACTTCCTTAAGAGTTTATATACACTAGCTAGTATAAAGAATTATTACACTATCACGTCGCCTTAAATATAACTACATGTAACTATTCATAAAAAGTGGAATTAGTAACCTAAAGAATAACACAAATTACGTCTTACTACAAGTGAGAAAATACACCAAGTAATGACATAAAAATTATTTACATGGTAAATATGTATGAGTTAAATTCTTTTAAAAAACCATTTGAACTGTTGAAAATGCTCTCCATGCTAATGGTTAAATTAAATTTGTTTGCAGGGAAGGGCCATCGTGTTATGGATTGGGGAACAAGGCTTAAAATTGCGTTGGGATCAGCCAGAGGATTAGCTTACCTCCATGAAGATTGTATACAATTTTTTCTATTCGCAATGCTCCCCTTTTCTTTTTCTCTTTGTTTCTCTTTCTCAACCCTTGTTTCTATACACAGGCCATCCTAAAATTATCCACCGTGATATAAAGGCTGCAAACATTCTACTTGAGGACAACTTTGAAGCTAAGGTAAAATTATTGTAGTCATTATTGTCTCGTGTATTTGTTATTATGTATTTTGCATGTGTCAGGAAACTTGGGAGGTTGGTTTTCAACGTAAATCTCCACTTTTATTAGAAGTGTTGCTTAATAATCATGATAACCTTGGGAATTACAAGAGTGTTTCTGGTTTCTCAGGTGGCAGATTTTGGATTGGCTAAGCTTTCTTCTGACAACTTTACTCATGTCTCCACCCGTGTTATGGGAACTTTCGGGTGAGTTGAGCATAGCATTTTTCTACTTTTTGAGAGGTAAAAGAAATACTAGGTGAAGGTTAGTGCTTATCTTTAGAAGTGACATATAATCTTTTATCTTTAAATGTTTCCAGACTTACCGAAAAATCTTAATTGGTCGAAATCCAATCATATACCATGTTATCAATCTAAAAAGCCTAGAAATTTGATAATTCTGAGCAAGATTTAGAATGCCCTGAAAATCAGTTTGATGTTTTTGTTTTGGGGTTCTAAAGGTCTCTAATTTTCAGAGAACTTTTCATATGCTTAGTCATAGTAGCTTAGGCAAGAGATATCCACAGTGAAGGCAAAAAAAAAAACCAATGTTTAACATACATGAAAAATGTTTTAGAAGTCATTTTAACTTTTTCGGACCTCTTGGTTAAAGTAATAAATGCGGGTGCTTGATTCTAGAAGAAATTAGGCATCAGTAATGAAAAAGCCATCTTATCCTTATACTGCAGGTACATGGCTCCTGAATATGCATCAAGTGGCAAGCTAACAGACAGATCAGATGTGTTTTCATTTGGAATTGTGCTTTTGGAACTCATAACTGGGAAGCGACCTATTGATCCTAGCAATATTATGGAAGACAGTTTAGTAGACTGGGTTCGCTCTTGATCTCAAGTTTCCATATCTTATTCATTGCATCAACAATACCTAGATTTTAACGTGTATTTAGACACCAATTTTTGTATATGCATACCCTTATTAACCTAATGTATGAATATGAACAGGCTAGGCCGCTTCTTAAAACACCTTGGAAGAGGGAAAATATGACGAATTGGTAGGTGCTCCTTTTGAAGGAAACAGTGTTCCAAAGGAGCTGCATCGGCTAGTAGTCTGTGCTGCTGCTAGCACTCGTCATTCTGCTAAAAGACGTCCAAAGATGACTCAGGTATGTCATCTTCTAGAATAGAGCTATCAAACTAGACCCTCCTTTGTTAAGTCCGGTTAGTACATGGTTTTGTGGTTTACCTTTATCTATTACTGTGAACTTATATCTTATACCATTGCAATTAGACTCATTGTATATGTTCCTCTTCTCTTCTACTTTCTGGAGACAATTAGTGATGCACATTCTAATGAACAGATTATGCGAGCTTTGGATGGCGATTCATCTTTGGAGGACATGAGCGATGGTGCAAAGACTGATACCTACGATACTGGTGCATACAACGCTGACATGGTCAAGTTTAGGAAAATGATATCAAACCAAGAATTCGATAGCAGTGAATATGGAGGGACAAGTGACTATGGACTCAACCCTTCCTCCTCGAGCGGTGATTCCAGTGAGCTTGATCATCATCAAAGAGGTAGAGGATGAATAGCTAACTAGCTGAAGACTTGAAGCTTGACAGGATGAATAGCTAACATTTTGACTTCTTCCCTAGAACTGATCCAATTAATGGATCTTACTCTTTCGTGATTTTGTCAAATAAATATACAAAATCAAAGGCATAGCAGCAAAATATGCTTATGTATATATTACATTACATTACGTTATATATAGCACAGTATCATTTTTGTCTCAATATTCTGTACATTTGTACTATATATATAATATTTGATTTTATAATTTCTTCTTATGGTTTTCAAACGCTTTTATTCTGCCAAAAGCCTGTCCACTAAGTATGATTAAGAGTAAATATTTAGTCGTATTTTGTGTTTATATTAAATTATGTAAATTTATTTTAGTTTGGTGATCTAATGAGATAAGAATTCATGTTAATTAACTATAGTTTGGCTTTTAATATTATGTGTAAATACATATCATGCTTCTATTGATTTGGTGTAAATATCCAATGAACAAATTTTATCCCTAATTAAGAGTGATTAAGGACGGTAGATCTCCTTCTCACCCATTCTTGCAAAACATCTATGGGTTGTTCGGTTGGAAATAGGATTATCTAGGATTATAATATCATATTTAATATAAAATAGGCAATATCAAGATTTGCATATAACATTTATGCAGGTATAGCTTAATATCAACCATCAAACAATTTATGTGACACTTTTCATATTTTGAGAGTCAATCAATTTAAGTTTAACTGAAATTTGCTCATGAAATTTTCAATTTTTTAAATGAAATTTATATATTTGTAAATTACATAAAAATATGAAATTTATACATTTGTAAATTACGTAAAAAGTACTATAAGTCACAACAATTAATAATAAGATTGAAATTCGAAAGTTGCCACATAAATTGAAATCGGGGGAATAGTATTTAAGAAATAGACAAAAGATGAAATTAAAAAAAAAAAAAGATAAAATAAAACAACGATTAGATTTATGTATTAATTTGCAATTTAACCAATAAAATATTGATTAATTTAATATCAAATTAACAATTATCTAACGATTATCGAGCAGTCATCAATTTACATCTTAAGTACTACTGTTATATTATTCCTTTTCTTCAATTAAAATCACAACAAGAAAATACTTATCATTGCTTTAGTTAACTTATTTCTCTTTGTTTCATTAAATATATCACGAGATCTATCCCCCAGCAGGAACAAACCAAATCTTTATGCTACATTAACAAGAAAAAAAATTAGAAGTAGCGGGGAAAGTATAAATATATGCTAGGAAACAATTATAATTTATAAATATAATAATTTTAATGGATTGATAATTTATCATATAAGAAAATTGAGTAATTTATCTCTACATCAATTATTATTAATTATATACTTTTAATTTGTTTAATTATCAATTGTTAATTCAATAACCAATACCAATAAGTCAAATTTACAATTGAATTATTGGTTATAATTTGATTTTGAAAAACCCATATTGAAACATAGTAACGTAAGTTTGGTGCACAATGAGAGCAGTTGGCAGGAGAAAAGTAGTCAAAACTTAAATTTCAAAAGCGTTGGTTAACATTGTAAGATAACATGTTAAGGTCCCAATGCACGTCCTTCGTAAGGTTTTAATTTTTTATTGACGATAAATACAACGCATTGGGACCCTGACACATGCCCAACATGACGTCTTTTGGACAATAAAAGCGTGTATTGCACGTAGAGTCGTAAAAATGGGCTTAGCCCATGGGGCCGGCCCAACCCAACCCGTTATTGGGGTAGGGTTGGGATAGGATTTTTCAATCCCATCTAAAACTAGGGCTTATAAGCTCAGTTTATATAAGCCCTTAGTCCTTGAGGCTTAATCAGGGTCGACCCATGGACCAAAACTTTTTATTTAAGGATAACTTACAATAATCTCGCTAGTATATAATCTAATTACTTAAATACACGCTAGGTTGTAATATTATGAATCTTACCAGATTTTGGTATGTCCAAATACATGTATCTCATAATATATGGACTCAAAATTAGGTTAATTTGTTCTAGATACACTTTATCCAAGTAGATTCGCATGTATATAGGATATATAGACAAATCTCGCGCCCTCGCCTCCCTCCCATCTTGCTTGTCACTCTCTTATCTCGCTCACGTATTTGGTATGCAAGATACATGCTAATTACATTTTAGTTTTTGCTAGTGTTATTGAAACACTACCATTGTTTGTCATATTGATTTGAAAATCTTCTCATTATTTTGATGTTATATAATTATAAGCTTGAAAAGAAAAAAAAAAGAAGGGCTAGCCCGCCGTAGCCCTCAGCCCTTGTAGGGTTGGGTTGGGTTGGACATTCCCTTCCAAATGAAGGGCCAACCCGCCCTAGCCCTTCAAATTTCTTGGGTTGGATGGGGCTGGACCGACCCTTTTTGACAGTTCTAATTGCTCATTCACTGTAAGGTATATTTAACTATAAATAATTCCTAAATGGAGAGAAAGGAAATAAAATAACAAGAGTAGGAAATAATAAGCTTTTGTAGTAAAACCTTTCAATTCTAGGTATTTTGATATTGATATTTATCAATTATTAAGGAAGATTGGGATGATTCTGAGAGGGTAGGTGAAAGCCCGCTTGCTTAAAAAACTTGTAATTGTGAATTTTTTAAAAGTAATATAATTTTTTTTTGTTGTGTTTTGACTTCTTTCAATTGATCAAAGTGACAATTATAAGGTGTTTAAGCAAACTCGTTTTCACCTGCTCAGCATATCACAATCTTCCTTTAAAATAAATCAAAATATATTGAATTGAAAGGTTAACAACAATAATTTCTTGCTAGAACTTTTGTCAAGAATTAAAATTACATTCGTTCAAACATAATTTACTTAATATGAATTAGAGAAAATATTAATTACATTCAATTTATATGTCTTTCTTTTTGAGTTGATTTATTTTCTTTAAGAATTCACTTTTTATATTTATTTTTTCTTCAGTATCATACATATATCCTTAAAATTCAATAGTCTCACAACTTCATGAAATTTCGTATTCAAGACACAAAAAATCTGTATTTATCCCTTGTTCATCGTTATTGTTTCATTCGTTATAATTTATTTGTTTATTTTTTCTTTTTAGTTAATTTTAAAAAGAAAATTTCTTTTTATTTTTTGATATTTTTTTTTATCTTTTCACATGACATATTTAAAAGATTAAATGATATTTCGTATTTTTAGTTTTAAAAAAATTATTTCTAAAATTTTGGTATAAATGAACTCGCGAGTGATGGAGTGAGATCTCTGATGGAGTCTTTATATGAGCCGCTTCTCTTCGCCGGATAAACCCTTGTTTCTATTTTGGTTTTCGTGCCGCTCTCAGCTATCTTCTCCATCTCTCCAATCGTCCGATTAACGTAACTCCACTTCTTGTGGCGGCGATTCGCATCTAGCAAAAACCCTAGTCGGCTTCAATGGGAGACTTCAACGATGCCTTCATGCGGAACAACCCTAACGTTCAGGCCCGTGCAAAGGCCCAGAATCGCGCTAATGTCATGCAACTCAAGCTGGTAAGTTATAACATTCGATCTGTTGTCTTTGTTGATTACTGACTTAGGTTCTTTCTTGATGAATATGAGGTTAGAAATTTAGATGATTTTGTGCCCTGTTGCTTCAACTTGTTTGGTATTTGTGATTTATTGCGTTCGTGTGGATTTAGCAAAGGAAAAAAAGAGAGTAGAAGTGAAGTATCGATATAGACTATACCGACTTGTTAGGATTATGGTCTAGTCAGTTGTTGTCGGTAAACTCACATTAAGTCCCTCTCTTAGTTTGGTTATGGATTCTCAATGTTTATTAATTCATAGTCTTAGGTACCTCTAATCTTTCCCAAAATATTAATTGTATAATACTGGGGGGAAACAGACCTAGATGGAGTGGAATTGATGTGGATTCATATGTCAACCCCCAAGTGGTTTGGGGAAATTAGAACAACGTTGTTGGTTTCTTGATGTCTTCATGATTTGTCATTATGTAGTAGTGAGTAAGGTGTTGTGGTTTATTTCTTGTTTCGTGATATTTTTAGAATTGTTCCAATTCCAACTCAAGTTTATTATTTTTGTTTTTGTGAAATGAGACTAGAAATTGTCTAAGATGCATATTTGTTGTGCTTTTATGACAGCTAAATATACTGTGTGACTAGATAGTTGGCTTAGAATAACAGTAGAAGTGTAGAACTATGTTGTCAGGCTGTTGCAGTATTGGCAATCCTTTTCTTTGTTCCTCACTGGTGCTGCAAGTTTGTGTATTTTCTTTGTTGATATATGTAATATATGCAGATTGGTCAAAGTCATCCAACTGGGTTGACTGCTAATCTTCTGAAGCTGTTTGAGCCCCGCCCACCTTTGGAGTACAAACCACCCCCCGAGAAGAGAAAATGCCCTTCATATACTGGTTAACATTCTTCATGGATTGAGTCATTTCTTGTTCCGTCAGTTATCTTGTATAATTCTTAGAACTATTCTCATTTGTTTTTTAGGGATGGCACAATTTGTTAGTAACTTCGCTCAACCTGGTGATCCAGAATATGCTCCACCAATCCCTGAGGTTGAAACCCCGGTAAGATTATTTTATATGCTGCAATTTCTTTTCTGATCTATTTGGGTAGGTCGTTATGTTTAATTGAGGGTTGGATATTCATTCTTCTCCCTTCTTCTTGCCTTATTAACTGCTTCAACACCAATTAGCAATAAGCAATCATCCATGTTCTCTTAACAGTGATATTTTAATTTCATCAATTTGATGTTTGCTTGATTATTTGTGTGTTTTGCCATATAATGTTCTGCTGATTTTTTTTTCTATCTCGAGATGAATGAATCTTGAATGTCCAACAAATGACACTAAAACATTGTGTTGTAGTTGAATTAGTGGTAATATCATGTCTTGTTCTTTATATTTTTCCCTCAGGGTAGTTTTAGTTGTGTGTTTTATGTTTGTCTTGCACTGAATAATGCCAAAATTTTCTGTGTAATTGAAAGCTTCTATTATTATCTCCCCAAGGTGTGGAGCTGTTGTAACCATTGGATCTCATCTTATCTGGAAGATACTGTTGTCTCCCCAAGTCAATAGAGATGAATCTGTTGTAAATTGGTAGTGCATGTAGTTAGAGGAGTGGATTATATTTACTATTTAACTTGAGATGTGGGTTATCTAATCCAACTAATTTGGGATCGAGACAGTTACATCCTCTGGTATCCAAACCGGTTCTGAAGAGTTACTTTATTCCAGCAAAGTATAATAAGATGTAACATAAGATGTGCAATTACATACTATGGTGAATCTGTGTATATTTTTGTTTATGCTCATTGATTGCTTTTGTTATTGGATGCAGACTGAACGAAGAGCTAGGATCCACAAGTTACGGCTGGAGGAGGGTGCTAAAAAGGCTGCTGAGGAGCTTGAAAAATGTATGAAGTGCCTAAGTTTTTTATTTTCTGAATATTTGAGAGCCATATTTTATGATAAAAAATGGAATAAATTTTTGTTTTTTTCTGCTGAACAGATGATCCTAGCAGCGACCCAAATGTTACCGGAGATCCATACAAGACACTCTTTGTTGCACGACTTGTGAGTGAAGATCTTTTTAGATCAATTTTGCTGTTACTTGGGAATATCATCTAAGTTTTGTTTTTTTTGACAATGAAATATCTTCTTAATTTTGTTGATTGTCTTTCACATTTTCTCAGAATTATGAAACAACAGAAAGCAGAGTCAAACGCGAATTCGAGGCTTATGGTCCAATCAAGCGGGTAGGTATTATAGAGCATCCCTTTGTGGGGCTCAGGTTACTGGCTTTTGGTTGGTAAGATGTGTACTTTTATGGTGGCATGGTACTTCCTCCTACTATCCAGCCGTTTCTCAAATTGATATTTCCACAACTTATTATTTTCTGAAAGCACTGAACATCTTACAATTTTTAGCAGCTTCTCTTTATGTACTTCATAAAAAAAATTAGCATCTTATCTCAAAACAGATTTTAATCACCAAAATTTAAAGAACTGTGGGGTCGATACACTTTTTGAAAGGTTGTCTTTATAGTTGAGTCCTTCAAAATGAGGATGGAGTACATAAAAGAAGTACCCCACATTACTCTACTTAAGTTTCAAACTTTCACTTAAGGTGCATGCGATGCATTCTTTATGTGTATAAACTTATAGCATGGATTGCACTTCAGTATTTTGATGAGAAGTTATTGAATTTGGCAGTCTGTTAAATAGTAATAAACTGATTAGCTCTCGACTTCCTTAGTGCTTCAGATTATTAAAAAAGAAAAAGAAATGGTTTATGCTATAAGCTTTCAAAATCACATTTTATCTGGAGAACTTTTTTTTTTTTCAATTGTACCTTCGGATGCATCTCCTCAGGCTGTAGTTAAGAAATGGATTGTTGTTTGAACTGCTAGCACTATTCCCTGGTGTTCGAGGTGCATTCTGCATTCTGAAAATGGGTGAATTTTTTTGTGAAGTTACTAGCATTTCTTTGCTTTGTAAAATAAAGGTCAGATTGCCAGTATGCCCTTCCTCAGGTAACAGTGCTCCAATTATTGAGTATCAGTTCGATGTCTTTATCCTCTTATCCTGGTTTGGATATCATTAGTTTCAAGTGCTATTCATTCTGATATTCCATTAGTTTCTAGAACCACAAAGGTAAAGATGTTCGACTCCTAGGTATTTTCCTGGTAAGGGTAAAACTTAATTTTCTGGTAGCTTTTGTTTTTTTGAGTTGCCAAACATGACCATTCAATTTCCAAGTCCGAGCTACATTACATGAAACAAAGCTGAACACTTAGATGAGCAGAGCAATGATGCAATATATCTTTGGCCTCTTATTCCAAGCAACACCGGAGATTGATACTTGCCTTTACTGGGTAAAAAATTGTTGGGAGTATTGACCTTGTTCTCTTCTTTATTCTTCTTACATCCCATCTATGCTGCTAAGATTTTACTTTTGGATTCAAAGGCTATCAAAAAAGTTTCAAGCATTTCAGGAGACACCTGGTATTTGACTATACTTCTATAATAATTTATTTTATTTTAAAATGTTCCCTGGTAAGGGGAGTTAGAATATATTGCAAACATAAGGCCACAGTTCTTGTTCAACTCTAGCAGTGATGATGAAGCATCTCGCCTGGGAGCTCTTTGATTCAAAGGTGAGCACGGCTAATTAGGCATAGTGCCTGCCGTGCCATTAGGAGCTTACTGTACCTAATCGTGCTGAGTAGATAAAAAACATAAACTTTTTTGACCGCTGCATCAAACATGATTATAATGTTATTAGTAGTGTTAATTCCATAAATTGTTCGAGTTTCAGGTTCGCTTGGTTATGGACAAGACAAACAATAAACCCAGGGGTTATGCTTTCATTGAGTTTGTGCATACACGGGATATGAAAGGTTTCTCTAAACTCCTATGCTTCTGTCTTTTTGGAAGTCTCACTTCCATCTCTAATTCTTTTGGATATAATTCAGCTGCATATAAACAAGCTGATGGAAAGAAGATTGATAATAGAAGAGTGCTGGTTGATGTTGAACGTGGTAGAACAGTCCCCAATTGGCGTCCCCGCAGACTTGGCGGTGGACTTGGAACAACAAGAGTTGGAAATGAAGATGCTAATAGGTATTGCATGAACTTGTCATATGTACATATGCATAGTGCTAAAAAGGACATTGATCTCAGCTCTTCTTTAGTGCAATAACGGTGTTCCTGTGGTGTCTATGGAGTAAAAATCGCAATGGGAATGTCTCCTCTTCTCTGTTTGAGTTGATTTTATTGTTGCATATTGCTTAAAATGCTAATTTGCTAGATACAACAAGACATGTTTGCTTGTAGTTGACATAAACTGCTTTTCTGAATTTCAACCCGTCTTTCGGGGTATATAGATGCTTCAGTTTGTGTTCCTTTTTCCTAAAAATGACTTGCTGCTCTGAGCTTCTATGTATGATATCTTGTCTACAAGTTGAATTTGTTATTGTTTGGCATTCAGTTTGATAATTACTCATAAAATGTTCTCAAAGTAGTTTTTTCTTGTTTAGATGCTGGTATGATTGTCAAGTGAAAAGCTTAAATTCTTACATGAAATTTTAATTATTGTCGACTCTATACTTCTTCTATTTTTCAGAGAGGTGGTTCAGCCGGGAAGGGCAGCATCTCGCTCTGAGGAGCCAAGAGCACGAGATGACAGGGACAGGTATGCTGGCTTTGAGTTCCTTTCTGGCAATTAAACTCCCAGACAAATTTCTACTTCTCCAAGGATGAGTTGTCCGATTCACTACTCTGTTTAGTTTAAATGTGAGTTAATGCTATAATGTGTTTCACGTCTAATATTATTATGAATTCCCATATTAGCAGGGATCGGGAGAAGTCCCGTGAAAGGGTGCGAGATAAGGACAGAGAGAAATCTCGTGAGCGTTCTCATGACAGACCAAGGGAACGTGAAAGAGATGACAAACATCATAGGGAACGCGAAAGAACCAGAGAAAGAGAAAAAGATCGCGGTCGTGACCGTGATCGCGAACGTGATAGGACACGTGACCGTGAGCGAGGCAAAGACAAAGACCGGGATGGTCACCGTGAGCGAGATCGCCACCGCGAGAAGGACAGGGAAAAAGGTAAGGATGAAGGTGAGGTTGACCAGGGTCGTGAGCGTTCTCGTGATAGAGAATATGATTATGAGCATGTTGAATCAAAACACGAGCGGGGACGACACGGTGACAAAGAAAGGAATTATGATCCTGCCGAACCTGAAGATGATCATGGACATTATGACTATTATGATCACCACCAAGGTCGAGGAGACTATGAGAATCCAGATGCACAAGGTGGTGATGATCGCTATAAAGATGCCAGTCGTGGTCATGATCGTTATGATCAAATGGAAGAGGATAATTATGCCTATGACCACGGGGCATCTGAGGCAAAAGAAAGGGACCAGGATTACAAGCGTTCAGATAGGTCACATTCTCGTGAATATGACTACTGACGATGAAGAGTATGCTTCAGCTTGTGTTGCTGTGGTAAGGTTGCAATAAAATCCATATGCTATGTAGGTAATTTTAATATCTCATTCAATAATATTGCTGCACTAGATTTGTCTGAATTTTTGACTCGCAGGAAGACATGGCCTACTGATACCTCAATGAAAATGCAACTATCTGTTGGAATACCTGCTTGACTAGTGCGGGAATGGAAACACTAAGATGATGGTGCGACGCATCGGCCCATGTTTTAAATTTTGTATCTGCTTTTGGAATTGTTTGGTAAATTACTTGCGGAGTTCTTATGTGAACTTGTTAAATGTGAATTTATTCGGGATTTGTGTGCGCTTTTGTGTTTGTTACGAGTACTTGTATGTTGAACAGACTATTCGCTCATGTTATGGTATTTTGGTTCTTTATTAGCATATTTGTTTTTGGATATTATCTCCTATGAAAATAGTTTGAAATTTCTTTGAGGGGGCTGGGATTCTGTAGAATATTAATAAATAAATAAAATCGTCCAGCGTCTAAATGATACAGTGTCTCTAAGGCTTCAAAGTTGTGGATTTCATTCTTACCCTTTAACTAGAGGTTTTGAGGTTTTGAGTTTTTGAGTGATATGCCTCTCCCTTTCTGGGTTGTATGCTATGTATATTTTTGGATGGTGAGAGTTTTGAATTTTGATAGCGAAGATGTACAGTTCCTTTACGTAAAATGTTGAATAGAAAGTACTTGGAGTTGTCTAGTTCCAAATAAAGACACCGCTCTGACTTTGTTCAAAGGCATGCCTCTTTTTTTGTTTTGTTGTATTTAAGGTAAAAAGAGTTTCATATATGGCATTTATATCAACTCAATAAGAACATATATGGCATTTACATCAACTTAATTTGTCGTTAAATGCAAACTTTTATACACAAAATCTTAGCAAGACTACAATATGTCTTGTGGGTGGTTCGAATCATCAAGATTCAAGGGAGCAAAAATGGGTGGAGGTTGGAGGGCTAAAAACCAAAACATCCTACTTCATATGTCTTTTCCCCCAAATTGATAGCGCGTAAATGTGCATGAACTTATGATAGGGGTTGAACGCGTAGGACATATGTGATCCAAATTAAACAATTTGGTACCATGCTGAAAGCTAAAAATTTCTGTACTTGTAGTGATACATCTTCAGAAGTTTCCCAGAAAGATACAAATTGTTTAGGCTGTTATAACTTTTATATTCAACCAACCAAAATATTTCTGTTTGTTACATCTTCATCGCTCATTCTCTCGAAAACCTCTAAATTGTTTGTATACAGACGCCATAATCCCCAACTGTATATTATCATTTCTTAACTCACGAATGTTTATTTTTCCGTCCTCGCTGATTAATTACATTTTCTCTCTAGTCGTTTGGTTGCTGATTAGGCTATTGATGTATTAATTAGATCACGCATAAGAAATAAAGTGTTTTGTGAGTACTATTCTTTTGCGATGTATAATTAGTATATGCATGTATAAGTTAACGAGGAAACTAATGTTTTATACTGGATAAAATATGCAATTGCATAACTAATTCCTACGAAAAATAATACATAGATTCTCTCATAACTAATCATTATATTACTAATACATGTATAACCCAAACCAACAAGAAAATAGATATGAAACTCCAAACTTAGAACGGATTACAAATAATTTTCATAGTGAAAATCCTGATTTCACCGTTAATAATCCTAAATATTAAGTAATCAGATGTACGTGTTATCATCATGATATTCATAGCAACATCAAGTGTAATTTCATGCTCTGAAGTACATATATATTGTCAGACATGCATGGTTATATCCGTGCGTAAGATGATGAATTGGAGGGTTTCCTGGAAATTTCACATTAATAAGACAAACAACACTGCTTCCCTCTAATTTTTTTAATTCCTAATTTGTGGAGTAGAAGCAAAAAAATAAATAAGGACTTTCTTTCCTATCTCCCTTTAATTTGCATATACACGACAAAACTACTAAACTTTGCAAATTTTTCGATGGTTGTTTAGTGTAGACGTAAGTAATTAACATTAAGAAACAAGCACTAGTTCTATCATTATTGAGTTTGAACGTGATGGGTATGAAAATTTACTATATAATTTTATGTTGAGAAATTTCGAATTCTATGTCCTCCTAGATGGTTCCATTTTCCGCCCTAGCTCATTTTTACTTGTCATTTTTAAAGTTTTGGAATAGTTATAAAGAAAAGAGCCTTTCTAATGAGATGTGATCTGTCTAGGGCTAGCTGAACTAAGCCTCATCAGAGGATCGGAAAGAATCACTTAAGTTTTTGTATATTGACGGTGTAAAGAATATCTGTATCATCAAGTAATTACATGCATCTCTATGTAAAAATTATATTATTTTAATTCGTAATACAAAGCGAAAAATGAGCAATTAGTAATTATATATCATCTTATTCTTAGGATAGTAAATGTATATACGAAATTGGAAAAGATATAATTACACTATTAATATCTTTTTGGTTTTCTAAAGTGAGAAGTACGTAACTATTTTCGATCAAACTCTTTTATTAGCACAAAAATGACAAAAATTCTTAAATGACATAAATTAAAAGGATATCTTTGTTTAACAGTACAAAACATGTAAAATGTCCATATCAGACACATAGCTATTTCAACTTTTACATATTATATATAAACGTAGGCAATAAAGGGATATTCAAGCATACAATATTCTTGAAGTTTGTTTTAATTCCCCTCAGGCCTCAGGTTCTTCAAAGTGGAATATATATAGAAGTAGCCAATTAATTATCTCAAAGGAAACAGAGGAAGCTACTTCTATATATAATTCTTATTAAAAAAGAGAATGAAGGCGTTTTTCGTAACAGCAGTATGGATACTATGCTGGGGATTATTCATAATAAGCGATGTTGGGATTAATGCAGAAAGGCTTACTTTGAAGGATAAATTAGAGCCAACTGCTACTTATAACATTAGTTATGTGGAGAATAATGAGATGAGACCACATGGCTTTGCAGTAAGGCTTGTGCATTTTCTGTGGAGTGGAAAGTCCTCTTATGAGCACGTCTGGCCGGTAAGATTAGAGAGCATATTCAATTTGTTATGTTTTTACATAGTTTTTTCATGATTCTTTGATATTTGAGTGCCAATGAAATTTGAACCTATATATCCAAGACTTGCTTTTTGTTTTTAAGTTCATGTTGAATCGTGTGACCGTCTAGCTTTTAAATGAGATATGGTAAAATAGCAGGCAGACCTCCTAAGTTCAAAATTTTACTACCACATATATATAAAATCAAAAATATTTTCACTTGTTTAATTCATGAAAATGAATCAAGTCCATGTGATGAATGTGTTGAGACATACTTCATCTGTCCCAATTTATGTGATAATATTTCTTATTTATACATTCCAAAAGGCATGATACCTTTTGATAGTTAAAAATAATTTAATTTTTAATGGAATGATTTATCGACACACAAATATTCCTGACTTGTTTCACAGTCAAATAATATCACATAAATTGTGACCGATGGAGCTAGTAATATATATCAAGTAGTAAATAATGTTTTTTCTTTGGGAGCATACAGGAGATGGAGTTTGGATGGAGAGTAATTGTTGGGTCCATTGTGGGATTTTTTGGTGCTGCTTTGGGAAGCGTCGGAGGGGTTGGCGGCGGTGGAATTTTTGTTCCAATGCTAACTCTTATTATTGGCTTTGACCCAAAATCATCTACAGCTATTTCCAAATGTATGTATGTATATATATAGTACTTCTTTTTTTCATACTAACATGTACTTAGTATATATTTGTGAAGCAGTACTAAACTATATTGATTTTGTTAAAGGCATGATAATGGGAGCAGCTGGATCAACAGTGTACTACAACATGAGGCTGAGGCATCCAACACTAGACATGCCTATAATTGACTATGATTTGGCTTTGCTCTTACAACCTATGCTAATGCTTGGTATTAGCATTGGGGTGGCTTTCAATGTCATCTTTGCTGATTGGATGGTTACTGTCCTCCTTATCATCCTTTTTGTTGGTAACTAACTATTCCATTCCCAAATCAATTTGATCGTCGTACTGAATGACTTTTTATATTATCAGTGTAGTTTAAGTACCTGTGACGAAATGTTAGAATTTAGAAATTTAACTCTCTTGGATTCCTGCCATGTACAAGATTATTCCATCTTTTGCAAAAGGCTAACTATAAGGAGTACATATGTTGTAGGTACCTCGACAAAGGCTTTGTTTAAGGGAATTGAGACATGGAAGAAGGAAACAATAATGAAAAAAGTGAGTTTTACATTTCTTCATGATTCTAAGTTGTGCCGTTTCTTTTCATGAACTCACTTGAACTTGATATCGCGCTACAATATAATCCCAGGAAGCAACCAAGATGCAGTTGGAGTCAGAGTACAAGCCAGGTAAAATTTTGGCTTCTTTGAGTGCGCGATTGCATGAAAACAAATAGAGTAGCTAGTAGAAACATAATTAGAGATCATACAAGAAGTAAATTATGAGTTGAAATGAATGCAGAGTCTGAAGGGGAATACAAGCTACTTCCTACTGGTCCATTAGCTTGTGTAGATGACACTGTAAGTACATGCTCTTTTGATATCTTGATGACTAAATTTAATCCCACCTTCCTTAACAACTTCTCTATTTAATTAACTTTCCAAATGTCACCTGATTAGGTTCCTATGCTTCGCAACGTTTACTGGAAAGAATTGGGACTTCTAATGTTTGTTTGGGTGGCTTTCCTAGCTATTCAAATTGTCAAGGTAAGCAACTACTTGTGATAAACTTGTACCTAATAGAAAAGTAAACAATCTTTCTAGTCTCCAACACATACTCTATGATATGCTGCTTTTTTTTATTTTTATACCAATGGTTATTCATTTATTTTCTTGCAGACCTACACCGTGACATGCTCCATCGGGTACTGGATTTTAAACTTATTGCAGGTAATTCCCATTTAGTTTGGGAGTTCAAGTATATGCTACAAATTTTAAGAATGAGCAAGAAAGATGATGATTTCATATATGTGTTAATTAGGTACCTGTTGCTGTTTCGGTTTCATTATATGAAGCAATATGTCTGTACAAGGGGACAAGGGTGATAGCATCAAAAGGAAAAGAGATAACAAACTGGAAGCCACATTTACTCTTCTTTTACTGTTGTTGTGGCATAGTTGCTGGTATTGTTGGCGGATTGCTTGGTCTCGGAGGTGGCTTCATCCTTGGACCGCTGTTTCTAGAACTTGGAATTCCTCCTCAGGTACATCTTGCCTTTTAATACTCCATATATCTCATCTGCTTCTCTGTTTCTTTTTTCTTGTACAGATATGAACAACTCTTGTTCATGTAAAACCAATCGTGTTTAACTTCTATACATTGACAGTTGGGTAATACAATAACTATTACCCATAATAAGTACTCGAATGATGTTAATTAGTCTCACATATATTGTTCTTTGACAAAGTGATGAAACAAATATGGCAGGTAGCAAGTGCAACATCAACCTTTTCAATGACATTTTCATCCTCTATGTCAGTTGTGCAATATTACCTATTGAAGCGTTTCCCTGTCCCATACGGTACGCAACAGACAAAACATGAACAAATTATCTTCACTATAACTACGTTACAAGAAAGTTAAATCTTGACAGTTCATATTTCAAAATGCAGCTACTTATTTCGTTTCTATAGCAACAATTGCTGCAGTAGTTGGTCAACACGTCATAAGAAGAGTAATTGCTCTGCTTGGAAGAGCCTCTATTATCATATTCATACTGGCCATGACAATATTTACCAGTGCAATCAGCTTAGGTATATATCAGTTTTCATCCTGCCAATTGCTTCTTTCTATTTTCTGGCCTTAAAAATAACCATATGTATGTTATGTTGGATAATTGGCAGGTGGTGTGGGGATAGCAAATATGATTGAGAAGCTGGAGAACCAAGATTATATGGGATTTGATAACCTTTGTTACCATTCCTAGATATGTAATTTGGCTTTAAAACAAAGGCTAGTTGTGGAAGGATATGACTACTTAATTCCACATTGTAATAAGTCACATTTTCAATTTATATTGCGTCTATTTGTTTTCAAGAAGAAAACAAAATTATAACTTGGATCCATCTCTATTTTATTCGAGTAGTACTAAATTTCTTGTACTTCGACTATTTTGATATCCGCTACAAATAGACTACAAGAATATTTCTTTTCACTTAGAACAAAAGTTTATTTAGGAGTCATTATTTTGTGGTATCCTATAAAGGCCTTGATGTTTTGCATAGTCAATTTTCAACCTATTGAATATTATTTCATAATCACTTATTAATTCTTAATAAACCGTCTTAAAATAAAGGGATAAGGGTCTGAAAAATACTTCAACTTTGGTCGGATTTGCTGTTGCGATACTAAACTTTCATGAGGACCTATTACCTTCCTAGACTATTTAATACCGTATTTTTTACTCCCTGAACTATTTAATAGTGTATTTTAAAGGTATATATGTGCCCACGTGGACACATTACTATTTATAATTTTGCATTATTTTTTATGTCCACGTGGGCAAATATATATGTTTAAAATACGGTATTAAATAGTCTAGGGAGGTAATAGGTCCTTATGAAAGTTTAGTATCGCAACAGCAAATCCGACCAAAGTTGAAGTATTTTTCAGACCCTTATCCCTTTATTTTAAGACGGTTTATTAAGAATTAATAAGTGATTATGAAATAATATTCAATAGGTTGAAAATTGACTATGCAAAACATCAAGGCCTTTATAGGATACCACAAAATAATGACTCCTAAATAAACTTTTGTTCTAAGTGAAAAGAAATATTCTTGTAGTCTATTTGTAGCGGATATCAAAATAGTCGAAGTACAAGAAATTTAGTACTACTCGAATAAAATAGAGATGGATCCAAGTTATAATTTTGTTTTCTTCTTGAAAACAAATAGACGCAATATAAATTGAAAATGTGACTTATTACAATGTGGAATTAAGTAGTCATATCCTTCCACAACTAGCCTTTGTTTTAAAGCCAAATTACATATCTAGGAATGGTAACAAAGGTTATCAAATCCCATATAATCTTGGTTCTCCAGCTTCTCAATCATATTTGCTATCCCCACACCACCTGCCAATTATCCAACATAACATACATATGGTTATTTTTAAGGCCAGAAAATAGAAAGAAGCAATTGGCAGGATGAAAACTGATATATACCTAAGCTGATTGCACTGGTAAATATTGTCATGGCCAGTATGAATGTAGTCCACGTATAAATCTAAGAATCGAGTGATCACATGCCGTGGCGGAGTCAGAGTTTTTACTGACGGGTTCAAAATATGAAGAAGTAAATACACAAACTAGACAAACTAGACGAAAGGGGTTCGACATCTTCTACTATATATAGACAATGTATAAATAATATAATTTTCTATGGAAGAAGGTTCGAATGAACCTTAGTGGCAAACAAAGTTTTGCATACTATTGCCACTAAGTTACTACTCTATACGCAGAAAAGTATTCCGTTTTTTAATTAATTAACCATTTTAAAGAAGACTACATTAAATAAAATATACAAAATGTTGATGCAAAAATTCAAACTTGGGTATTGTGTATGGATTGGGCACACTTTTACCACTGAGTTACGGCTCATTACTATTTTTGAGAGTGTCCCTGTTCCTAACCATTGGGTGGCTCCGCGCCTCCGCCCCTGGTCACACGTATGAGAGGTGTTACCTACACATGTCCCTCACCGATTGTGTAAAGTTTTTCAAAGGAATTTAAATGGTCATTTGCTATTCCGCTCATCTTAAAATTTTTGGTTGATGCTTTGATTCTTTCACCAACCTCCACGGGCTCCATCATCAACTTCGATGACCCAACCACTATTTCTAGTCACCATCAACAACTACCTCTATAGGATATTGAGATAAAATTTAAATTTTGTTCGTTCCACTTTAGATAATTATATATTAGTTAGAGCGGCAATCAATTCTTTTCTCAATTATGTAGTTTTGTTTTTGAAAATGTAAGTTGAAAAAACTTAATCATTGTACAAAATGCTACAAACTTCTTGGAATAAGAAGGATCATTTGGTGGGACAAATATAATAATTTTTTAGAATATTTCATAAGATTGTTTTATTCTGTATTTGATAAGGAATATCATTTCGTTTTAAGATTATTTTCTCTCATTATTTTTAATATAAATAGTGAAATAAATTATTTCATATAAAAGATGAAATAAAATAATCTCATAAATTATATCTATCTATCTCATCTTACCGACCAAACTATCCCCGAAGAATATAAACAAATTCGAATTTGATTGGCTCCTGACTAGTGTTACAGAGTTTGGACTTTTTAAAAATCCCTCTACCATACTGGTCAGCAGAATCAGCCTAATGGAGACAGATCAAAGTTTCCTCTTTAGTTATTTCTCTGCAAAGTTCAAATTTAAATTGGGCCACTATGGATGTGACAACCCATAATTAAATTTTTACGGGATAACGCGACAATATGTCGGGCTTAGCGATGCTGGAGCACTATAACACGCGCGCGCAACGGTCATCCAAATCGACGCCATCGATGGCTTTCTTGATATTATTTCCAACTTTCTAGGGTAATCTTGTAACATTGTTTTCCCGCCCTTTGGTCTTCTTGCACGACCATTTCGATTGCAATAAAAGAAAGAAAATTTATTAACCTTTTAGCTGCAATTGCATTCTGCATATACAGTGCACCTTTTCCAGTGCCGCCCATTCTTTCCGGTCTCCTCCGGGCTTCGTTGCTCCTACTTTCTTCCGTTCATTGAAGAAACTGATTCAGTATGTCTCTATTGCTTCATTCTGCATTTTTTGTGGTGATTTTGAGCATTTTCTTGAGTTTTTTTTTTTAAAATTTAAATACGATTCCGTTTTTGTACTGATTTTTTTCACCGGAGGAAATACTAGAGGGCAGATGCTTTACTTTGAGTTGCCAACATTCTTGTTTTGTTGGACTGTTTTTGATTGTGTAATGCTGTTTATCGAAGCTTAGGGTTTGGACTAAAAATGGTGGCCGATGAAGGAGTGAAGGACAGGACAGTTGCGGACTCTCCTGTTTCCGTCCTCGAAGATGAGGTATTGCTCTATTATTTTGCGTATTTACTTATTTATTTTTGTAATGTTTATTTGTGTTTTGTTGCTTATTACCGTTGTCCCTATTGACTTTCATTTAAGGTTCCAGGTGTTGTAACTGGAAGTTTACTTCATAGTTTGTAGGTTTTGTTGGTTACTGTATAATGTATTGACTTTGAATTCTCAAATCCTTATCCTTGAAAATAAGTTGCTAGCATCGGAGGAGGTTTCTAGATAAAAAATAATAACTTGGTTTCAAGACATTTTACTTACCCTAATGCGGAGAAGCGAGGAGGGGGGAGGAGTGGAAGATTAGTGAAGCAGGACATGTATGAACTCCAAAGTCAGATCAATTTGTTTAAAGTGATTGTTACTCTACTAGTCATCAGTATAAAATGTCGTAATGTTTTTTTTTTTAATCTTTCGTGAGTTTCCAAGGCATATAGCTACTTATTTTTTTTGTCTTCAGTTTGTTTTTGATTCACATGCTGAGTTCTTGTATCATTCACCAGTAGCTGCTTATTTTTCTTGCTCACAGTTTATGGTTTTGAGTCACATGCTGAGTTCTGGTATCATTTACTAATAGCTGCTTTTTTTTCTTGCTTTCAGTATATGTTTTTGATTAATATGCTGAGTTTTGGTATCATTCACCAGTTATTTCTGTGTGGAGGTTTACTGAATCAAGGAACACTTCCCTGATGGGGATTTAAGTTTCTTCGGTATCTCCTCACCTGTATTGCAGTTATAGTCTTATTGTTTATTATGAATTTAGATGGAGGCATATTACCCCATCTAACTAAGAAAATGTTCTGGAGGTTGATTCTAGGTCCATTTTAATCATAAAGCATAGAGTTGGTGTAAGGAAAATTAGTTCTAGTAGTTTGCTCAGACTCTTGTCCTGCTTTTTCTTTTCTGATTTTAGGTTTGAGGGAGATGTCATTCTGATACTTTTTTTTTCTTATTTTCTTTTCCCTGCAAGAGTCTAGCTCCTTAGGTTCTCAAAAAACATTTTAATGTTATTTTTCTTCTGAATCTAATTATCTATGCCTGTCTTGCAGGATACCTGCAAAGAGGACTTGGCTGTCAAATTAGAGGAAGAAGTAAGTTTGGACCCAGAAAATGGGGATGCCACTCATATACCTGAAAACATGGCAAAGGAGGAAGAAATATTGATAAGAGCACGGGCAAAGGAGGAAGAGGAACAGCTGAATAATCTCAAGGAAGCGCCCATCTTGAATGACACTCAATTTACGAAGCTGGATGAGCTTCTTACCCAGACACAGCTGTACTCTGAGTTTCTACTGGAGAAGATGGATAACATCACAACAACGGTATCTCCCTGACATTTTGAAAGAATTTAAGTTTAATGTGGAAACGTTTAAGCTATTTTGCTTATCAAGTTCATTTTTTCACTTTGTATGAGCAGAACGTGAAGGAAGATGAAGAGAAAAGCGTTAAAGAAAACAAGAAAGGCCGTGGCGCAAAACGGAAGGCAACCACAAGCTACAACAATGTACACTTTTTCTCATGTCTTATCTTGAATATGTCATCAAACAAAGAACTCTAGTTGAGAGTTTGTTGGATAATTTTATCCTGCCATTAGACTGGTTGAATTTTCTTTTGGATGGTATTTAAAATTTCTTTCATTTTTGTCTCATGCAAATTACTAAAATGTATAAAAAGTATGGTTTTGCTTTGAACAACATTTGCATTCACCCAGTAGGTCTTTAGTTTTCTGTGGCCCTTATACTCGTAACTAAAAATATATTTGTAATTCTTTTGGAGGTTATTTCCCTTTCTTAATTGTGGAAGGCTAATTTTGTTGTTACCTTCATTTCATTGAAACGGTTTAATAAATTGCTTAGAACAAAGCCAAAAGAGCTGTTGCTGCCATGCTTACTAGATCTAAAGAAGATGTTCCTATTGAAGATGCAACCCTTACGGAGGAAGAGAGATTTGAGAAAGAGCAGGCGGAACTTGTGCCCTTGCTGACTGGTGGGAAGTTGAAGTCTTATCAACTGAAAGGTGTCAAGTGGTTGATTTCATTATGGCAAAATGGATTGAATGGTATTCTAGCAGATCAAATGGGACTTGGAAAGACAATTCAAACAATAGCTTTTCTTGCTCATTTGAAGGGGAATGGGTTGGATGGTCCCTATTTGGTCATTGCTCCCCTGTCTACACTTTCAAATTGGTTGAATGAAATGGAAAGGTACATTAGCATCTCCATTCCTGTGCGATTATCTTGATGTTCTTTCTGTGTATTGGTAAAACTACTTCCCTTTTGGGCTGAAACTGTCTTGTGTTATTTGCGTGCAACTACATGGCATGATATTTTTTTTCTATTTCAATTGAAAGGTTTGTGCCCTCAATCAATGCAATCATCTATCATGGTGACAAGAAACAGAGGGATGAGATAAGGATGAAGCACATGCCTAGGACCACAGGTCCCAACTTTCCCATTGTAATTACGTCTTATGAAATTGCAATGAGTGACGCAAGGAAATTTTTGAGGCACTACAGTTGGAAATATCTTGTGGTGGATGAGGTACAGTTTGCCTTTTAAACTAGTATTATTATTTTGTATCATTTTCTATCTACAGTCATTCCATTTGAAAGCACCCCATTTTGTACTTTTTGTTCTGATATTTTGTTACTTCTTTCTTAGGGACATAGGCTAAAAAACTCGAAATGCAAACTGATCAAAGAATTGAAGCTGTTGCCGATTGAAAACAAGCTTCTATTAACTGGAACCCCTCTGCAGAATAACTTAGCTGAGTTGTGGTCCTTGTTAAACTTCATTTTACCTGATATATTCTCATCCCACGATGAATTTGAGTCATGGTAATCAGCTTATTATTCTGACCATTTTGGTCAAAGCGCTTTCGTGTGACTGTTTTAAACATGTTTTTATAACTGCAATATAATTGAGATTTGTATTTATCTGCTGATTTTATATGTTAATATGTTTTTCAAAAGTAGCAGCCACTTTTTCTTCACCTTAAATTGATTTGTTTGTCTATCTGGGGCTTTTGAGTTAAAACTTGTCACATCAGTGATGGTTAGGCCATTTATCAGTCCTTCAACAGATATCCTGTCTGTTATGGTGTCTAATTGCTTAATGTGTCCCAATTCTCCTAATTG